GGACAGCTGGGGTGTCCAGTCCTTTTTTTTTGAATGTTTGGTCCACTCCTGACCCGGCAGATTCCTTGGAGCCGAAACCTCTTGCTGACTTAAAACGACTTGTTTTCTGAGGTGTATCAAGCCGTTCAAGCGGGCGGTGTCATCAAGGAACAGGAAGCTAAGGTGCCAGGGCCCAGAGAAACATTGGGAGGGTCTTGGATCTAAGGAATTTGCCGTTCTTTTTCTTCACGGCCAGTAGAGGATGTATGGCAGAGAATGTTCTAAGCCCAGGTTTTACATCTATTTTCCAGGTTCTACATGAGTCTCTTCATCCTCAACCAGTTCCAACCGACTTGCGTTCGCCCTGCGCGCACGTTCTTCACCCTCGCTCTGCGTGAACCCCGACTGCCTCGCCTGGGTTTGTTTGGTATGGAGGAACGAATATCGCCACAGCTGGCTCGGTGTGTCCCAGGTTTCCCCGGCTCAGCCGGGTCTGGGGAAAAGAGAAGAAAGACCAGCCGGTTCTGGTTGAAGATGCTCTTTTGCCCTAGGAATCCATTTTGTCTTGGGAGATGTTGCAAAGCAGCCATCCTCCACCTGGGGCCTAGGAAGGGGATATACCCAACATTATCCGCCATGACATGGAAGGTTGCATGCCAATCCGATTAAGACACTGGGAGACACTGGCAGATTGTGATGTACCGATGTACATGTTGTCAGGTGACACAGCCCAGTATTCACATTGAAACTTCACCGAGATCTCCTTTCAAAAAAAGCTCTGAGCCGTCACCGTCGAATCTCTTTTGTAAATACAACCCAGGCCTTGTCCTAGTTTGTTCTCCACACACCAATTCATACCATTCTCACTTTGCTAAAATCCCCATTTCTTCACCCTCCTTCCAAGCAACTGCCACAGCGTTCTCACTTTGGGCCGCATGGATTGTTCTCATGTTCTCGTCGTGGTATTGGGTCATTTTGCCGTCAACTTTGACCATCCCTCGCATACGTATCAAGAACCGAGCATCTACTCCATGTTTTCAGATACTACTCTTGCCGGATGGCCGGTCAAGGGCTTTTCACATGAGACCCCAGTCCCCCAAAACGGAAGCAATACTGATCACCCTTGCTTTTGGACCGCTTCGGAATCCCCTGAAGAACCATACAAGAAAAAAGAACAAGCACACTCCGCTTCCGCGCGGATTTCCCGAAGCTTCCGGCCGCGTCGGCGGCGCCCGCGACCTCCCGGCCGCTCGCAGTTGTGGCGGGTGCCGGGCTTCGCCTGTGAACCAGGCGGCCCATGGACATGCGACCGCGCGGGGTTTGCACAGCGCGATGCGGAGGTGGTTCGAGTCTTCAGGTCACAGCGGGAGTTGACGAGAGGGGATCAGGCGGACAACTCCCACTTTTTGGGAGTTCAAACACTGGACTTTGTGTGCACTGGCCGAGACCCTGCTTTTTCAATCCAACAACGAGGTAGTCGAACCTTTTGAGTGCTGCTCCAACCAAAAAAATGTCTTTCTCACTGTGATTTGAGGCTGGTCTTGAGGTGAGGCTGACTAGAGTCACCACAGCCTCCGATGAGTGAGTACCGTCCTCTTCACTTGATACTTATTTCATCTAGCGAATGAGCACCAACTGCAATCAATAGCCGGTGGATTTTGGAACATTTGCCTCACTCCTATGAAAGGCGGTTCCTTTTAAAAGGGCCCAGATGTGCCGAAAGACACATTCCCGTGAAATGCTTGCGGAAGCACGGCAAGCCCTGCCAGCTTTGCATGGCAAGCCCTGCAGGCTATCATTCCCTTTGGGTGGCACAGGAATACTGCGCCTTGGCCAATGCAGCAACGGTGCTTGGGGCGACGATGCATGCTTTCATCGTTCGAATTATGTGCCTGACAGCACATGCTGTTTGTGCCATCCATGTGCACGAATCCTGTAGAGCAGTCGATTCGCAACAACCTGAGCCGCTGACATTCGCTCATGTCGATGGGCCAACACCGCCCCTGTCCTGGTGAGAAACCTCTTCGCGTCGCGTTCGCGTTCGCGTTGGCTGGCGTTTCGGCCCCCGAGGCATCGGCACGAAACGGAAGCTGCCGCGCCTGTCGCAAGCAGAGGCGCCTGTGTGGGACTCCGGAGCCTTGGTGAGGTCGTTCGGTGAACCGATGCCGGTTGGGTTCGGAATTTGGGGTTTAGATCGTCGACATGTGTGTGATTTGGATCAAAAAGAAGGTGATTTTGTCATCGATACGATGCTCTATGGACTGGACTGTTTTGACCAGCTAACCGCCCAGTTGGTCAAAAGGGGAGGTCTTGCAGAGGGCTTGTGAAGAGGGCGGCCCCTTCCCGTCTGTTCCGTCGGTCGTCGGTCGTGGTGAAAATCCTTGACCGAACCAAGGGACTTGGTGCGAGTCCACGAACACGAGGGAGGCCCATTGTTCGGTTGACCGATCCCCCCCCGTTGATCTCTACGACCAACAGAGGGAGGTCGTTGTTCGGAAAAAAAGACACGGCCGCGCTGAGGATTGCTGCTCCTCTTGCAGGTGTTCATGTTCCTCTTTGCCTCTCGGACTGGACTTCGGAAGTCGTGAACACGGGGGTGGCCAGGAGTTCGGGGGTTTCGGGGGGGGGTGCCACGGGACTGTCGCCAAGAAAGAGGAAAGACACATCCGTGATGGTGTCTCTTGTGATCAATCTAAGACACTCTTCTACTGTACTACAAAGTGGTGTTTTTGAATGCTTTGTTTGGGTGGGGATCCCATGATAGAAGCGACAGCACCACATTTTTGCACAACAGATGGTTCACTGCTCTGACTGCTCACGCGGCAATGGGACTGAGCCACGCCGCCGGAGGTCATTTGTAACATCCGCCTGTGTAGGCTTGTGAGCTCCCCAAATTGGTCGACTTCTGTAAGCAAAACCCATGAGCGCTGTGTGCGTCACACAATGCTCATGAAGCTCCAGTGCTTGAATGGTTGTGCTTCTTTCCAGGTGATTCAATCAGAATGCAGTCATTATATCATGCCGTGAACTCACTTCCAGCTTGAGTTGACTGGTAGCACCAAACACCAAACACAACTTACCTGGCTGCGCCACTCTTCATGGTCTTTGCCAAAACTCCGCTCAAACATCAATTCACTTCAGTGGCTTCAACGCTGGTGTGGCACCCACCTCAGTTTCGCATGACAAGGCCCAGATTCCGTGTCGGGCACGAAACCCGAAAGCTATGCTGCTCATTGGTTTTAATAACATCTGATGAAACTTGTCGCTACTTTTAGAGATTTTAACCCACCTTGTCTCAATCAAACCGAGAGGGCGATTGCACAGGCGGTCTGCAGACAGAGCAAGCTGATGAAAACGGACAGTTCATGTCTAGCTCATGTCTGGCTGCCAGTCTGCTTGGGCTGTGGCGAAAGCTGCGTCTCAGTCGATCTATTGATGGGCATCCAGTCTGACTGGGCTGCGTCTCAGTCTATTCTTCGTCTCTGATGGCCGAAAGCGCGGTCTCCCGGTCCTGACGGCCTGAGCAGTTCCACGCCCACCGACCCCGCGTCAATGGGCGTGACGTGAAGACGAAGCTAGTGGTCTGTGTTGTGGTGTCTCCTGTACTGGCATCTCACATTTCTTGCATGATTCAGCACAGCTTGTTGTGCTTTACAGCTATCAGCAAATTGGCTGTGACAGTCTTCGAAAGCCACCATGCGAAGCTATGCTGGAAAGGCACAAAAAGATCACACTTGGCAAAGGGAGATTTGCTAACATTCACAATTTCCAAACTGCGAAATCCCTGAAAGTTGTTTGTGAGAAAAAAGTGGGATCCAACAGAGCAGACATTCGACATTGCCAAGTATTTTGCAGGAAAGGGTTCAATGATGCTGGTAGTGCAATGCAGACAAGTTGCATTTCCAGCATTTGGCGTATCATCAAGGAAAGGGTCACGGACTGTTTCCAGGTCAAATGGAGGCTGTCAAGGTCATCCAACAACGAGTGATCCTACACCCGGATGAATCTCAACACAAACCGTGTCACATTTCTTCGATCGAAGCAAATCGTATGGTGAAACCACAGCGGAATCGTGAAGCAATCAACCGGATGTTTCCATATCAAATGGTTTAGGAGGTATGTTTCCATACCAATACAGTATGGATGTATTTGTTCCGGATGTAAACCAGCTATACATACCAATCCCATATCCGCATCTATACCTGGAAGATACATCTGGTGAACCAACCAGATGCGGATGCGAACGCCTTTGCTGACCACCCAGGTCGCCACGATTCTGGCGATTTCCCTCACCACCTTCGCTCGCCTGGCGGACACTTACTGGTACATGAGGCACCAACAGGGCCATCCTCGCCTGGCTTCGTTTTTGGAAGCCACAACAACTTGTGGAACTCTTGGATCTATATTTTTTGGAAGGTGCAACAATGCAGGGCGTGCAGGGATCTAGAATCTAGACTTCAGGTCTGTTCACTATGGGTGTGGTATTGGGAGATGATCAAAGATCAATTGGTCCAAGGAAGAACAGACGCTTCCAGAATAGCGGGTCCTTTCAAAATTCTGTGACACGTATCCATTTCGACCCGTATACTGGTGGATTAGTTGCGTGTCAATGTCCGTGCTATCGTCTTTCGGAAATTGATGGAGGAGTCAAATCGAAGGTGCTTCAGAAGGGTTGGACGCTGAAGGATGAGTTTGGCCACCTCCTTCTTGATCATCTGACTGACCAGGAGAAAATCTGCGTTAGCAGGAGACTGGCACACTCATGACCTGTACTTGGCACTTGGGAAGTGCTTCGCAAGCCCCCTTGGGAGACTTCTTTTCGACGCTGCAGCCAACTCGGCTCTCCGTGGCTAGTTGGGAAATCAGCTACATGCGTGCAGTATTGACTTCCGAGCCCAAGTGAATCGGCCGAATCGGGCCACTCTGTGATTGAATCGCAACATCCAAACACTCTCGCCATGTCGACCCCCCCCCTATTCCCAGCCGTTCGACCTACCAACCGTTCGCCTCAGAGCTTGGCCATGGACAATTTTATCAATAGTCTGGCTGGCAAGCACGTGGTGCTTTCTGGCTGTGGTGGGGGTTCAGACGTCTTGGGCAGCAGCGTGATCTATGCGCAGATCAAAGAGACGGCCCGGAAGGCGAGATCGATGGCTGTTCGAGGCAGCCGGTGGCTCTTTCCAAAAGGAAGGGGTTCACAGGTATGGTTTGCGAGTTGCTTTTGGAAGAAGTAGGTAGGCGAAGCATTTGCACCACAGATTTGGTGGTCTCAACATACAAATCCAACCCTCACCAACCCTCAGGTCTGCGAAGGATAGGCTTATGATGGTAAACACGCAGACTTGACTGGATCTTGACGTCTTGTCGCGAGAAAAAGACCTGCCGTTGCTTGCAAAAGTCCTACATTGATGGAAGATGTACACAACTCTATAACTATAACTATATCAAACGGGGGGGTAGGGATGGGTAGGGCCAGTTCGCACCCAAATTTGTTGGGTATTTTTTTTGGGTGTTCGATCCAGGTGGTTTTCTTCAACTTCAGCTTTTCGAAGACAGAGCTCTTGGACGCGACGTGCGTGCCGATCTCGCCCAACTGCTGGCGTGTGGACCCCTGCAATGTGGCGCTGGAAGAGGACGTCGAGGACCGGTATGGGGAGTTGGGGTCCGGGCCTTGCCTCGTGCCGGCCACGGTCCAAGAGCTAGAAAGCTAGGGCCAGAAGCTTTCAGGTGACACCACATCTCGGTCGATTTTTTGGGATGTCTTCTTCTCTGGGTGTAGCCAAGATACATGGAAGCCGGCCTACCACGTTACCACGTGCTAAGTGATCTTCCGTTGGGGTGCAACTAGCTTGTTTGCATTCTGCGATCTTCTTGAGGCACCTGTGCCATGCGCCTTCAACCAGTGGATGCGTTTCCTGTGCCCCCAAAAGCCTTGAGGCCACATCAGGCCTAGCAGCCCTCTACCCTTGGGTGACCGCTGGTTGCGCTGCGCGCCATGCGCAGCGGAAAGCGCAGGAGAAGGTTTATTTCCCGGAGGCCCGCATGGCGAATGTCACTGGAATGGCCATTTATGCCTTCTCGCATGAGGCGACCATCCAACAAGTCACTGATGGGTACAAGGCCGTTGCGTCCGTTCTGCAGACGAAGGGGCAAAAGAAAGAAGGGGAGAAGGAACAAGATCACTCATCCGTCTGTGGTGCCCGTCATGCCAAATAGAGACCAAACCTTTGCAAGTACTTAGAATTGAGGTGCAAGGGAGACCCTAGGCTCTCAGACACCTGGCAGACGTAACACCCAAAGCTTTCGAACCTACTAGTCACTATAGTCATCCTATTCTGCTAATTGTATGTTTTTCCACACCTACGTTTCTTGGACCCCAACCACCACTCCATTCTTTGCTTGGTTTCGCAGGTGGCTCTTAAACAGGAGTTTGTCAGCTACAGCTGTTGGAAGAAGCGAGGAGCCGATGTGCTTGTGCTTTGTGATGGTGGCTGCGACGTGCTCCTCACCGGCCTAGAGAGTGGACTGGCGACGCCCAGTGAGGAGAGCGCTCGCGCTCGCCGGATTGGGAGACTCGGAGGGTGGCCAGAGACTTGGAGGGTGGCTGCAGGTGAGACTCGGAGGGTGTTTCGATGCCCCCAGCCTTAGGAATTAAATTGAGGGGGGGTACTGAGTCTCAAATTAATTTCCGCCAATTAATTGTGGACATTGCCGACATAGGATGTTGGGGGGGGGAGTCCAAAAGTGGTCGGCATGAGGAAATGCATGGTCTGACAGCAGAGAGGTAAACACTCCCCACCAAAAAATAATTAATTTGAATTAATTGTGAGTGGGGGGGAGGGAAATTAATTAATTGGAAGACGGTGGAGGGGTAAGGTACCTATGAATTAATATCTTGTTCAATGATGTTTCAAATCCTGGCACTGGTGGAGAAGATGAAAGAAACAAAGGGAAACAAGGGAAACAGCTTTGTTTGTCCAAGGCTTTTAAATGCTCCTGCTGTTTTGCTCAAAGAGGGAAATGAAATGAAAAGCATTGAAAAGTATAGCAAAGGATTCAAGCAGAAAGAAACAATGTAACAAAGACAGAAAATTGACTAGCAAAAGATAAGCAATAGTCTCAATTTAATTAACTCCCCAGGCCTGCAATTAATAAAAAATTAAATTTTGGGGGGGACCTAGTCCCCCCCCCCCTAAGGTAGGGGGCATGTGTTTCGACTTCGCTCCTTTTGGGCTGCCAGAACCCAAACCCGAAACCCGAAACCTTAGCTGCCGTGAACTGAGCGCCCGGGGGCCCCGGAAGCTCCAGATCTGACAGAAGGTTGGCGGGTGTTTTCACACCATTCGCGCCACTGCGGTTGGCGGGTGAACAATGCGCAAATGCCAGTATATAGTTACAGTTATAATTAGTTGTAGCTGTAAATGAAGAGAGGTAGAGAATTGTAGAGATGTGGGTTCACTGGGACCCCCAACTACAAAGGGTGCGTCTCGGAATAGGCAGACATTCAACAAAAGTCCCTCACAAACTTCACACACGATCTGGTTCAGTACATGAGTTCATTTAGATTGAGATATATAAGCCCCGATAAGCCCCATCGTTTGGTTCCCTACTGGCCAGCATCATCCAGTTACTAGCTCTGCTTCTGCCATTTCGCGAGGACATGACTCATCTCAAAGCGATTTTGCCCTTGAACATCCCACAGAAGTACATCGCGGTGCTGGGGGCCAATGTGGACTGTGCTCATGGCGTCGTACCAGAGGCACGACTTCAGCGGCTGAAACGCCTTCAGCGTCGTTTGGTTTGACTCGCATTGAACTGGGTCTCTAACGTGGACTCGTTCGCAGACGAAGGAAGTGGGCCGGTGGGCCCTTTTTCGGGTCGGACGTATTTTGGGTGGGCTGGAGCATGGATGGAAGGATTCTGCTCTCTAGGGGATGCCTGGCCAGGGCCGGAGATCATCAGCCAATTCGCGAAAGGATACATTGAACTCCCTCCAAGAGACCTTTTTTTTCCCGAATGCGTAGCGCCGTCCGCAACCGTTCGCAACCGTCCGCAAGTGTTCGCAACCGTTTGCAGTAGAGCGCTAAGGCGCTGCCATTGGGGGAAGCTTTTGCAAGCGACTATTCATGGATGTGTCACGTGTCAGTTTGCGCCGCTATTCTATTGTGATTTGCATGAAAAAGACATGTCGCGCAAGAAACGTGATGCGTTTCGCTGCACAGGCGCAGCGTTTGGTGAGATCTGCAGATTGCTGCGCAGTTCCATTGGGATTAGCGTTTGGAGAGTCGTGTTTTTGGGGGGTTGGATGTGGCCGTGCCATTGGGATTTGCGTTTCAGGGTGTGGCATCGAAGCTCGGTTTTCGTGACAAGTTTCAGCTGAAATGGCGACTTTGGTGGATGGGAGTGTGCTCAGGACGGGTCGAAATCATTCCAAACGTGTGGTGTGGTGCAAATTTGGTTGAAGCTCACATGAGAGGATATTCACTTTTCGTGGCAGGCGCAGGACTTTGTGCGGGTTTTGGGGCGTGGAAGTGCGATTCTCGTGGCAGGCGCAGGGAATCGTGAGGTTGCGAGGTGTGACGGAGGTGGCATTTCGTGGCAGGCGCAGTACTTTGTGCGCGTTAGACGTGTGGACGCGGAATGATTCGTGGCAGGTGCAGGGAATCGTGAGGTTGTGAGTTGTGGTAGAGGTGAATGTCGCTGTCACATTGGGATTGGCGTGTGAGCGGATGTTGTTTGGAGGGGCTGGAATCGCAAAACTGCTTGGCAGGGCTGCGTGATGTGTGTGCTCCGATGGGTGCTTCCGCTTGACTTTTGGAGGAAGTCTCGTACGAAACGCTCGTTTTGCAGACTTTGACGTGTGAGTTTTTGAGGACGTCTCGTGCGAAACGCTCGTTTTGGAGACTTGACGTGTGACTTTTTGAGGAAGTCTCGTACGAAACGCTCGTTTTGGAGACTTGACGTGTGACTTTTGGAGGAAGTCTCATACGAAATGCTTGTTTTTGAGACTTGACGTGTGACTTTTGGAGGACGTCTCGTACGAAATGCTCATTTTTGAGACTTGACGCGTAACTTTTGGAGGAAGTCTCGTACGAAACGCAGCATGACTTTTGGAGGAAGTCTCGTACGAAGAGTGTGCCCTACAAGAGTGTCCCACAAGAGTGTCCTACAAGAGTGTCCGAAGAGTGTGCCCTACAAGAGTGTCCCACAAGAGTGTCCTACAAGAGTGTCCCACAAGAGTGTCCTACAAGAGTATCCCACAAGAGTTTCCTACAAGAGTGTCCCACAAGAGTGTCCCACAAGAGTGTCCTACAAGAGTGTCCCACAAGAGTGTCCCACAAGAGTGTCCCACAAGAGTGTCCCGTATGAGTGTCCCACGAGAGTGTCCCACAAGAGTGTCCCGCAACAGTGTCCCACAAGAGTGTCTCACAAGAGTGTCCCTTAAGAGTGTCCCACAAGAGTGTCCTATAAGAGTGTCCCACAAGAGTGTCCTACAAGAGTGTCCCACAAGAGTTTCCTACAAGAGTGTCCCACAAGAGTGTGCCACAAGAGTGTCCCACAAGAGTGTCCTACAGGAGCGTCCCACAAGAGTGTCCTACAAGAGTATCTTACAACATGTTCCTACAAGAGTGTCCCGCAAGAGTGTCCCACAAGAGTGTCCCACAAGAGTGTCCCACAAGAGTGTCCTACAAGAGTGTCCCACAAGAGTGTCCCGTATGAGTGTCCCACAAGAGTGTCCCACAAGAGTGTCCCGCAACCGTGTCACACAAGAGTGTCTCACAAGAGTTAAGAGTGTCCCACGAGAGTGTCCTATAAGAGTGTCCCACAAGAGTGCCCTACAAAGAGTGTCCCGCAAGAGTGTCCCACAAGAGTGTCCCACAAGAGTGCCCTACAAGAGTGTCCCACAAGAGTGTCCTACAAGAGTGTCCCACAAGAGTGTCCTACAAGAGTATCCCACAAGAGTTTCCTACAAGAGTGTCCCTTAAGAGTGTCCCACAAGAGTTTCCTACAAGAGTGACCCGCAAGAGTGTCCCACAAGAGTGTCCTACAAGAGTGTCATTTGGACATATGTAGCTTTTCGAACGTGTTTGCATTCGGGTTCGTGGGCTCCATTTTTTTTGATTTTTTTGACATGCAAAGAGGATAGATCTTTTGTGGGGAACCTGGAAAGCTTAGCAGGTTCGTTTGGAGGACACTCTGACCTTTGGGGAATGGGAGTTTTGGTGTCGTGAAACACCACCCATAGGTCCAGCCAGTCAGACTATTCAGACTGGTGAGTGGTTTGGAATGGTTTGGAAGATCCGTAAGATTGGTTTTGAAACCAGGATGAAACAATGTTAAACACCAGAGCACGATTCCGGAATGACCAACCTCGGTGGGGCTTTGGGATTTTCCTTTGACCCACTTGGAGACCGCTTATGGAATTGTTGAACCAACAACAAACAGGATTTCCATGCGACGAACTGTCTCAGGTTGACCAAGCGCAAATCAGGTCGGGTGTGGAGTTGATGCTTCTCATCAAAGAAGGCCAAGACAAGAAAGAGCCTGGACCAAGACTTAAATAGATAGAAATAGAAATAGAAAGGACCTCCAGAAAAAGAAATTACAGGGATCTTTTATATATGTTTTCAGTTCACTCCATTGTCACTCGCCATCGGCCCGTTGGAATTCTTCCATCAGCCATCGGTCACTCGGACCGAATGGACCGCCCGTGCGGTCCACCTGCGCCACGGCCGCGGGTGGCGGGTGCTGTCCGCGTAGCGCAGGAATTGGATCATCGCTTGAGTGACCTGGAAGACTCGGGCACCATGCTTTGTTCGGCACCGCCCCTGGGCAATGTTGACTCCGCCTTTCTCGGGGAGTCGTTTCGTCTCTTCGAAGCTGTGTTTAGAAGGCAGAACTGGACCCAGCCAAAGCAAGAAGAGTCTATGACATCTTTGGAAGTCGTTTCCAAGTCGTTTCGTTCTGGACATTTGAAGCCCGAGCAGTCGGTCGTTGCGCTCCAGTCGTCGTTTTCATCTCCGGTCGGTCGTTGCGGTCCAGAAGCCCATCAGCTAACTTGGGCAGAACTTGGTCTTGACAGGTTGCATTTCACACCATCAGTGGGCAGACAGTGACTTCGGTGAAAGAGTTGTTTAAAGCCAGTTCTTTGTAGGAAACTAGAAAGTGAGGAAGAAGGCGACTGAAAGGATCAGCCTGTCATGTGTCCCTCCTGAAAAGCAGACACATAATCCCCAAATCCTCCACAGGGTTGAGCTTTTCCTTTTGTCCCCTCGATGAACATGGACCCCCCCCACTCACTGGCTTGGTCTTCGATAGGCTGGTTCTTGTCTCCACCTTCTTCGGTCCATTCTCGTCGTTTCTGGTCGGAACTGACCGGTGGCGTTTCAAACACCGTCGCTTCGTGGGTTCCCCACGGTCTGCGTTTATCGTTTCGCCTCAGGATCGCGGTGGACGATCTCGCTGGACGTTACTTCGAAGACTTGGTCCTACGCTGTGCACCCACCAGCTCCATGGCCCCAAAAAAAGCGGGTGGGACCCGCGCCAAAAGAACAAGGGCATGCTTTTCATGCGGGTGGCAGTATTTTAGAAACATTAGCCTCCAACCTAATAGCGATGGCCTTACTAGCGATGGCCTCCAACCCAATAGCGATGGCCTCCAACCTACTAGCGATGGCCTCCAACCCAATAGCGATGGCCTCCAACCCAATAGCG